ATATATATATATATATATAAACATTCCATTCAATTTATCAAAATGATTTCTTATGGAATAAATTACTAGAATTTTAAATATAATAACTTTAATCGTTTATTACTAGACTTCAATTTTATCTGGACCCCATTGATTTAATTGAGCCTCATTCGCCATAATATTCCATGCTAAAGTTTTCATACAATATTAAACTAGAAATCTTGTTTACTATATTTTCAAATCAATTAAAAATTGAATTTTGCTTCTTAACATCATTAATTAGGTCAACTGGGTTAAATAGTTCAATGTGATCCAATTGAACCAACTTCAGAATTAAATAAAATTATCATTTTACTTGATAGAATTAATTATATCAATAAAGTCTCTTAATTAGTTAACAACATCAGATACATAAAACAGTATGATTAAGCTATGGTAAGCTCATTTACTATGAGTAGCCATAGGTTTAATACCATTATTAAATGGATAAGCATACGTACACCTAACTAATGGTAACTTTCGAAAAAACTTGAGCTAAGTACTTCTCTAGTTTGTTCCTAATATCAGCCTTGTTCTCTTATGCTGATGATCTTGTAGCTGGAGAAGGAGAAAGTCAGTGAAAACCCACCTTATAAGCTTGGTTAAGTGAGGAAAATGAAAGGCAGATGAAATTCTATGTAAATAAAGCATCATTGAGCTTCCTTACTTAACAACTAAAAGATACGACATAACCTTTTACCTTTAGATCAGACAATTGCATATTCAATTAATGATTTAAGTATAGATCAGACATAAATCTTTTTTCTTCATTGCGTCCTGTCACTAAATAGGACACAATGGAGAAAAAAGACTCATGTAGCCGACCCCACATTTTGCTGTTGTTGGTGATTACTCCAACATTTAACTCACATCATCCAAATTCCATTGAAGGTTAATGGCATCTCACCTCATTGAAGGTGAGAGCATCTAGTCCTCTATTGTGTGAGATGAGTGAACTAAAATAATATTAAAAATTCTATTTAAAATCAAGTATTTTGCATTTTTATCTAAAATAGGAATTTTCATAAGTGAAAATGTTAAGATACTTGGAGAACTTTACAGGAGTACTACAACATATGGGGCTAAATTAGAGAAAAGAACCCAAAAGCAGAACACCACAACATTATATTTTAGCATGCAATGCTTAGAAAGTGTGTTGTAAAACTAGTTCAATTGCATCATTGGTGATGATTAAAGATGGACTACATCCTGAGATCTCGGTGTTAGAGCACTATATTTTAGCATCATAATGCCAGAACCTTAAATGATTTGGCATCACATAACCAAAGTTTATTGGCATTATGCTAATTGGATCATATTTTAATGCAAAAGGTAGATAGCTTAGCATCATAGATACAAGTCTCCACATTATAATCTTGGTTTTGCAGTATAGTAATGTTAGTCAGCAACAACGCAACCTGATGGCCCCAAAAGTTTAGTTCATAAGCGATTTTGGAGCAGATTTGGGGGTTACCTTGCAACTTTAGAGAGTTTATGTTGCAGGGGTGTAAGAGATAAGGACGAGTGTAGTGTGTTAGCAATGGAGATTATAGAGTGTGTTATAGAGTGCCTTAGTGTGTGAAAGCGAGTTTGCAAGGAGAAGTTTTCAAATGAGAAGGTTGCACAAGGAAGGAAGAAAAATGGGATTAGAATCAAGATTTCAAAGACCTTATTTTATCATTCTATACTTTTCTTTGTACAGTTTTTCATGTTACTTTTGTGTATTTCCTCTTTTGTCAGGTTAATGTGTAGGAATTAAGTTTCCTCTCTGGATGGTGCTATTTGTTACAGCCCTAAAACCCTAAACCCTAAACCTATTTATGCCACCCAAGTCTTTCAAATCAAATAAAAAATATCGCCATTTTAACTTTTTAAAATGTGAAATACATTTTTCTTGACATATAAGATGGCATGTATGTAAAAAATGAAAGTTTAGGTGTTAGAAATGTGAACACTTGCAAATTGGTGGCACTTATGTAAATCTTCCAAGTTGTGAATTAAATAAATTAATTTTTTTTAGTTTGAAAACATTTTAGGTTATATTTTGACCAGCATGGCCTTGCTAAAATTATATTAAGAATATAAGATATAGAAATATTATTGTAAAGTAATTTGGAAGAGATTTTTTAGAAGGTACAAAATAAATTTTTACTTTTAAAATTTCAAATTATAGATAATTTTTCATAACAATTTTTTATATATTTTTATTATATAAATACTGAGACATATATATATCTATATATCTATGCGATCTAGTAGATCTCGTCAAGCCAATCAGTTTGATTATAAGCTTAAGCTTGCTAAAATCAGTGTTCTAGATGAGTTTAATCTGACTTTGAATGATTTGTACTAAAAATATTATCTCGAGATCCGTGTCATGCCTTAGAATTCATGTCGAATGAAGAAACTTTGTTGGTAGCATATCAATAGTGATTATTTTTAACAAAAGAAATTACAAGTATTGCGGTAAAAATTTTCAAAATTAAAATCCCACGTATTAAATGTCATGACATCAATAATTGTAACACAAATCCTCAGAATCCCAAGACTAACTAGAACCATGAAAGCTTGCACATGAAAGAATTAAGTTTCACTGATGTTCAAAGAGTCAATACTTCTGTATGTATTATAATGCAAACTATTCATACTCCTATATACAAAAAAAATAGACCCTGCACGGTTATGACCTGTAGGCCTTATCTGTTCTATCCTATTGAGATTTATTGATTCAATAATGTAGGGACCCATAGAGTGAAATGTATGGCATGCTTTTTGATGTATCATATTACACTTTTTATGTTGCACTATTTTTGATGCATTACTTCACATGCTTTTTTTATGAGTTACAATGCACACTTCTTTGATCTGTCATATTTCATGCTCCGGGGCGCATATCACATGTTTTTTGATGCACCATGTTATACTTCTCAATGAAATGCATCATAAACATCCATATCTACAATGCTGTCATGTGCTTCACCATGTTTCATATTTATAATGCTCGGTCTTGATTGTTTTTTTTATGTTCTGTATTATATGTTTTCTACTTAGCATGCTTTTTATTGCACCTTTTTGGTCATTTTCATCCGCAAAGCTTGCTTGTATTTTGCGTTTGGCGACGAGGAGAATTTTCCTCAAAACTAATGCAAAAATATTCTTAATATATTATCTTTATGTTTGCATACTAAAAGGCTTCACTTTGTATATTATTTTTCAGAATTTGGTCATTTTCATGCAAGCCGGGCTTGAGCGAGTTTAGGCCTGGCTCTTGTTCGACTTGTTCGAAGTTAGCTCGTGTTCAAAGTTGCTCGTGAATGGTGTGTTCGTGTTTGACTCAATTTACATATTATTGTTGTGTTCTGCTTGAAATTGACTCCTTTCAATTAATTAAAAAAATAAATGCAAGTATTTGAATTCAAACATGCACCATTCCTATACCATAAAAGATATGAAACCACATGATCACACAAGTTATGACAATTTAAACTTAGATACAAGTACATATAATATATTATTATATAAATATTATATATAATTTCTTTATTTCGAGCTAAAATGAGTCAAACAAATAGTTGCTCATTTTCAGCTCATTTATACTTCAAGTTTAAAAAAATTGTTTATGTTCAGCTTGCTTGCATAATGAACGATTCGAATGCAAACTATTTAACTTATCAAACACAAACTATTCACGAACAACGATCATTTTGACAGCCCAATTCACACCTTCGTCAACAATGAATTTTTCTAGAATTCCCCAAATAATTTTATATTGATATTTTTTCCCACGCCTTTGAAGATAATTTTTGTTCCTCATCACAAACTTGCGTTCCGGATCATTTTTTTGTCCTAATGTTCTTACTTTTTGTCTAAAATTTAAGTGAATTTCAATACACATCACCCCCACCACCATCAGGTGTAAAGGGAAGAAGAGCCTACAAACACACTAATAAATAAAGGAAGTACATACATAATACTCAATTCTTATGTATTTACAGATATAGCACCTATTCTTAAATTTTTACATACATGCCATCTTACCTATGCCTGAAAAGGTGTATTCACTTCTACCTATGCATGAAAGGTGTATTCACTTCTTAAAACTAAAAATGGTGGCATATTTGATGTGATATGAAAGATGTGCGGTATAAATGTAAAAAAAGTAAATTAGATGTTTTATAGAAAAATACATAAGAATTAAGTAAATGCCCCATAAAAATATAATGGATACGGTTTACAGATCATCAAAACTTGGAATCTCATCTCACCCCATCAATAAAAGTGTTTAGGGGTAGAAAAGTGTATGTTTGTCAACAAAAATAGCCATCTACGCCATTAACTTTTCACATTTATGCACGGTTTTTAAGAATAACAACGTGAAGAATGTTAAGGAATATATCATAAATTCAATATCAATTGATGTAAATATTATACAAGGTTTCAAAATACAAAAAACAAGTGCATTAAAATGAAAAATATGTACAGCAAGCAGGTATACTCGAGAACTTGAATAAATACAGACGCACCTTTAAAATAACCAATGTTTCTTCTTTGGCTTGTAATTGACTTTAAGATCTACAAATGTAGAAATAAGAAAAACCATTGATTATAAACCGATAAAAATTAGGAAACCATTAAGAAATAACATCAAGTTGAATAAAGTAATGGTTGCAGACTATCAAAAAGAAATTTGATATTTTTTTAAAATTGGAAAAAACCTTGGAGTTCATAAAGCGAATTGTAATGTACTTCAGACCAAAAGCTTAGCCATAGCTCTGCATATCAAAGGAGAAATAAACGGTTACAAGAAAAATATTACAGGTAAACGATAACTTAAAGGCTGAAAAACAATAAAATGTTTATTGGTCTTTATTCCTATATGGGATTAATAGTGATCTTCAAGGTACGCTAACATGTTTATTACCTCTCTCTCTCTCTCTCTCTCTCTCTAAGTCTTGTATTTAGAAGTGCGACTCCTATGAATATTGGGACTTGGTGTATGATTCATGCAACCTTACTGAGTATATAAGATTCTATTTCCATGATTGAAACTCACGATATACAGTGAAAAACCTCAATGTGTCTGGTTCAAACGCTCACCCCGTTCCAAATAAAAAAAAAAAAAAGAAAAAAATCAAGAGAAAACCAAACATTCTTCTATGCTCTCCCTTTTTCTTGTGAAGCCAGCATTGTTAATGTCTGTTTCATGTGAAAAGCCATAAATATGGATTTAAGCGCAAGAAATCTTTCAAGACCCACCATGATTTTACATTTTGTGATGTAGGATGTGGTTGAATCATGCAGATCATCAATGTTCACCAATGCAACTGGCATTGGCCCTGAGAAGCTTGTATTCAATTGTCAAGAAAAATCTATTTTCGTTAAACTACAATAGAAAGTAGCTTTCGTGGTCCATAGAACTTGAAACAAGGAGAGTAAAATATTATAGCCATTCAATGTCAGCAAAGTTTTCCATAAATGTACTAGATATGTACAAACGATAGCTTTAAAGTTGCAAATCAAACTTAAGATAAAATACATGGATTTATGGGGTGATTATTAAAAATGATTTAGGCAAACCACTATAAACTTATGTTCTCTTCCTTGTCACTTAATATTCATCTGTATAATTTTTACTTAATTTATTCAAACTTTCGTACCTCCATGTTTACAGTGAATAGGCTATGAACATAAATGGCCTTCAAATATTGCTACTTGATTTTAAACAGCCAAATCATTGCCCACTTAAGTTTGTTTAATAGTCACATACCTAACTCTTAATTTAAAAATCTTTGTTGGATTTAATTTTATATGCTCAGCTCCAAGTAACCTATATGATCGTCTCTTCTTAAGAATGTAGAAGAACAGAGTTAATGTGGAGCAAAAGAGGGGGAGATTTTGAGGCTGGCATCTTCCTTGACCTTGACCATACAATCATTTGAGTTCTCCATTCTCATTGCTCCCGCAATCTATAAGAAGTCATCTTCGGGATCTCGAACTTTATTTTAGCATCTCTAATTCTTTTAGTTCTTGTATTTGCTAGAGATCAAAATCATCCTTAAGAATATAGAAATGTGCGAACGTACTTAACCAGGCAGTTTTTTAAATATTGTTTAAAAAGAAGTAAAAAAAACATAACAGTGCAGCTTCTACAGGGACGAGCACAAAGTCATGTGGAAAATTTATGAATCGGAGGCCTGATTATGCTTTACTTGGTGTGACAATCATCTTGTGATATGCGAGTCATATCCATTGAGCTAACATCTTTAGATGATTCAAATTTTTAAAATTTCAATGTTCTCCAATATGAATCTCCATAACACTCAAAGGAAACTTTACTAAGAAGATTTATCCAGATTCATATTGTGGCTCTTCAAGATGAGATTCATTATGTTCAATTCGGCGCTACATTAATCAATCAAAACCATCCAATAAAGTTAAAATTTTTCATATTTTATTAAATGTCAACTTAATCAATCAAATCATCCCCCAACATAAAGATGAAAAATACAAAATTTACCCAATCTAGTTTTCAGCATTCTTTTTGCTTGCTGTTGTCCATTGCCATAGGATATGCTCGTCTCCTCTGTTCTCATATTTGATACACACCAAATCTCCGTGTTTATATGCAAATGAAGTTGACTCTTAGCCATCACCTAATTCTTGACAGCTGCAATTATGCACGCCTTAAATGCCTTTACTATCTCATAGAGACTACTGATTCATAGATCATGGCCCATTCTACTAGAAAACTAAGTTTCATATTAAGTTCTAAAAGGTACTTTGGGTAGTTTGGCATGTTTGGTAAATAAAAATATTCCATATAAGTGTAGTTTATGCAGTTTTATTCTTGATAGTTCTAGCTAAGAACAAAATATGAATTCATTGTTTTTCAATTATATAAAAAGCAATCCATTAATAAATCACTACATATTTTCAGATAATAGAAATATAGCCTTTCGGCTTCTTTTTTAATACCGTATGTAGGCATCTAACCTATAATTAATTCATTTGCCTTATCAGAGCCGGTTGACAAATTTTTCTAGGTTCTTTTTGCTTGTAGAATTAATGCATAAGTTTCAGTCTTCCATAAGAAAGGTCGTCACAAGAAGACAACTATAATATAGCTTACAAAGTTGGTAGGGATGACACACCCTTTCTCATGGTAAAAATCTATGGCTCCTAACCTATTTTCTAGTGCATGAAGGAAATAGAATGCCAAAAAATCATATAAATATATGAGAATTTTTGGAAATGACCAAAATCACATTTTTAAACTTGATAGCAGTAAATAACTATAAAAAACAAACGGCAGAAAGCATTACCTCTTCGGGGAGCCTGATTGTGTGGAAGAATTTCAACAAAACATGTATCCCTAAATGATGTTAGTAGACAAATTTTGGCCCCAAACTGCAAAGAAAAGATAAGAGTCAAACAGGATTCATATTGTTAAAAAATAACCAAAGCATAAGATCGTAAACTACTCCACTAACAAGGAGATCAGGATGCAAGAAGAAAAAAAAAAGGCAAAGCAATCAACACCAAATAAAAAGGAGCTTATAAAGATCACGTAACCAAACTAACTAGTAAGCAATCACAGAAGTGATAACCTCTTTGGTGGAGAAAGAAATATAAAGTAAAAAAGAAGAAGAACAAAACTTAAAAGTGAAATTTTTGCTCAATCAAAATCAAGGTGGTATGAATTTATGGCACCCATAAAGTCCTCCAATCCCACGCTTGTATTACAATAGTGGAATACAAGGGACCAAATTTTAGTATATTAGTGGATGGAGACAAATCCACCCAAAAGCTCAAGCGAATGGTCAATATAGACGGACTTTTCCACTTTAATACTCAGTCCTCACTATCAATTTATTCAATAACCCATTTATTGATTAATTGTTGGTATCGGACTTTTCCACTTTCATTTCCATCTTAACAATCTCCTCTTTACTTGAAAAACATATATATTGACCATCAATCTATATCAAATATAAGTTTTTCAATACCATCGAATGCTATGCACCAAAAGCTCACCCAATCATGTCAATCATACATGGGAGTAGCTTGTTCTCAGAAGTCACGAAGGCCCTAAAAGGCATTAAAAAAATGAGCAACCCACTAGATCATTGTTGGTCAGTCAACTTTAATGTCACCATAAACTAGTGGATGGATGCCTACAAACTCAAAAATTGAGCTAATAAATAAGGACCATCACAAATGGAGGAGTAAAAACACTTCAAGAAATTCGTGGACATGCAGTCCAAAAAATTAGATTTACTTTACATGTTATGGATGGGATAAAAACACTTAAAAAATAAATATTAACTAGATTTATGAGCCAACTAAATAATTGAAATAGGATTAAAAAAAAAACATAGGCACATGACAACAAATATGATTACAAGCAAAGAAATATACATTAAAAAATATTTTCAATCCAATGGTCCTCAATTTTGATACTGATTCAATTTAGATATCTTGATTAAGAAAAGAGCAGCTTAACATATTTCAAAGTTCTAAAAATTGTAGTTCAAAGATGTTCCTCAAATTGAAGAAACAATTCCGAGAACATAAAGAGACGGCTACAACTGTAGTGAGCGGGCGTAAAGAGCCGCGGGAGCCCTGTCCCGGGATTTTATCTTCTGGATAGAACCAATAAAAACCTGAGAGGGCCGACTGACTCTCCCACACTAGTTTGGCACCTCCTTTCCATAGGGGATCCAATCCTACGTATCTAGGCCTTACTTAAGTGGTTTCTTTATTTGAGGTTTGCAGTTTTTCATGTATTTTGTTTATGACAGCAGCCAGAGTTCGTTCTTCTCACTTCGAGGGTTGTATCTAAAAGATTGGGTAGTGCTCAGGTTATATCTCTCCCGAGATGATGATTATCTTCCCCATCCCCATCTGCATCTCCCCTCACGAAGTTGTCGACCATCCTCCATCACTGCAGCAACCCCAAATAACACTCGTTTCCTGTTTTTCACTATAGTCTTCCCATTCCAACTTTCTTGCTCACTGCCATCGCCACTCTTTGTTGTAGTATAGTCCTCCGCTTCACCCATTCACTCCCGTCCTTCGGAAAACAACAAACCTGTTATTTTCTTGTTGTCCCTGGCTGTTCTAGCTTTTCCCACCACGCCTCACTGCTTCGCTTGCCATCACACTTGACGTCTTCGCTTTCCTAGCCCTCTGCTTCACTGCCAACAGGATTCCAACCCCTCCTTTTGATGTCCCAACCACCCACAACCCATTTCAGTCACCTACCATTGCTCCCCAACCACCTAGCCGGCCTCCACCATCCATGGATCGAGCCTTGGTGTGAGCTTGTGTCATGTTTGTTGTAATTTCTCTTTCAAGTGTGTTTGATTGTAACAAACTATTTGCTTTCAGTCATAATATTTAATTTTCCTATTGTGGTTTGGGTTAACTCTGGTATCATTTGGTATCGGAGTTACCTAGTCCTATCCTAAGGTTTCTAGCATCCCCTTATCTCCACCCACAAACTTTCTTTCCCACCCTACATCATCGCCTTATATACTTCATTCCGACTATCAAAACCCAAATCCTAATCATGTCATTGAAGAAATGATAACCAAACGACGATCAAGTCTTTATCATGGACGAGAAGCAACGACAACTCCGCCGAGTGCAATGACAACTCAATGAAATTAAGGGAAGGAAACCATCAAGACGGGTCACCCATAGCCACAATGATGACTTGCTAGATCAAATGAATAGAATGAATGTCTTACGAATGTTAGGAATGAAGAACCTCTATCCTGAAAACGTGACCTGAAATATCTAAGAAGCCAAAATTTTTAAGTAAAAGTGGATTTGTCATATTTCAATGGCTACATGGATTAGGACAAGTTCATCAAGTGGCTCTATACATTGGAATGTGTTTTTGAGTGACAGGACATCCCCCTGATGGAATAGTGAAACTAACTGCCATCAAGTTCATGAAGAGTTCATCTCATTGGTGGCCAAACTTGAAAGTTCTTCGAAAGTGAGAAGATATGAGTAAAATTACTACCTGGTCCCAAATGAAATGAGAGATGCGGCGTCATTTCCTACCAGCTCACTACAGACGTGATGCTCAAATCTCAATTTAAAAAATGGAAAGACCACATCACCGAACGATCACTACGACTTACGGACAAGGTTCAACATCAGGATCTGACAACCGGAGTATACCCAGGGGACATCCAAGCCGATCCCTCTTGAGAAAAAACTAAATTCAGTGTAAAGAACAAGTGGAGCGAACCAGCATTCCTAAATCTGTCCCAGCCAGAAAGTATTTTGAGTACCACAAATTTGGGAGCAGATTGCACAACCAGGCGGATAATATATTTCACTGAATAGAGAGTTGTTGAAGAAAAAGACAACTGAAGAATGTGAGGACACAAATGAGATGGCCATATCACAATAAATGAGGGAGGAAAGCTTCAAGCTGAGGCCATAAGAGAAACTTCAATAGAATTCACATTGGCGGTTCAAGACGGTTTGAAGTTCAAGGAACCAACATTAGACACCCAATAACTCCATATAAGAGGAATTAAGGCTTTGCAAATAGATATGCTCCTTCCTGAGTTGCCCCTACTGATGGAGGTCCAACATGTCAAATATGAGCCTTTTTTTGTCACTTCCTGAAAAACATATGGAATTAATTGGGTGTTAAAATCTATTCAGCAATGTAAACTCCCGACAGACGATTAGGCGGGATAGATGAAACACAACTTTAGAAGTTGTCATAGAAGTTTAGTAGGAGAAAAACTCTTCAATGGGATGCAACCCTACCATAGAAGAAAAGACATCTCCTAAGCGATTGCTAGAGAGAATTGCTCAGTCTGCCATAGAGTTTGTCTCAAAGTTGAATCTTCCTTACATACTTGTTTACCAGATACATCTAGTCGAGTACAAGGAATTAAAAAGGCAAATTATGAAACTAGAGGCTCTAGAGTTATTTTGGGAGAATCTACGATTAAATGTGGCTACAGCTCGGGTTGTGCCAAAAGTAGATATATATTTATTCTATGAGAATGTGCTCTGGAATGACAATGCCAACATGAGTGACTTTTTTGGGAAGTTATAGTAGCTTCACCACCTTCAACGTGACTGAACGGACTACTATGAGTTGATAGAAGCTTCGACAAATAAAATCGAAGCTCCCCCAATCCCAGGATACTGACGCGCAAGCTACCGGAACACCCCCTTCCGCGACTTATGTTATAGTGCATGGGCATAAAGAGACACGAGAGCCCCATCCTGTGATTTTATTGTCTGGAACAAACTAGTTCAAACCTGAGAGGGTCAACTGCCTCTCCCATGTTGGTTTGGCACCTCCTTTCCGTAGAAGGATCAAACCCTAAGTATCTAGGGCCTCTTTATGTGGTCATTAGTTTGAGCTTTGCAGTTTTTTGTGAGTTTTGTTTAGAACCACCGCAGATGTCCGTTTTTCTCCATTCGAGGGTTGTATCTAAAGGATTGGGTGGTGTTCCGGTTGTATCTCTCTCCAAATGTGGTAATTAGCTTACATATTCCTCGCACCTTCCCCCACCACTCTCCCAATCATCCTCCATCGCTCCAACTGCCCCAAACATTACTCATTTGTTGTTTTTCATTGTATTCTTCCCATTCTAACCTCCCTTGCTCGCTGCCACAGCCCCGAATAGCCGCCCTTTATTGTCCCGGAATCCTCTGCTTCGCCAATTCGATGTTTTCATCTAGAAAACAACTACTATTTTCCTGCTATCCCATTGTTGTTCTGGCCTTTCCCACCACACCTCGCTGCTTTGTTTGCCACCCCACTTGCTGCCCCCATCCCAGCTGTCCACTTGGCTGAGAATGTGACTCCATTCCCTCCTTTTGCTGTCCCAACCACCTATAATCTATTTCAGCCACCTACCTCCGCTCCCCAACCATCTAGCCGATCTCCACCACCCATGGATCGATCCCTAGTGTGATTTTGTCGTGTTTATTGTAATTTCTCCTTCAAGCGTGTTTGCTTGTAACCGCCTATTTTCTTTCAGTAATAAAATTTATTTTTCATATTGTCATTTGGGCTAGCTCCGGTATCATTTGGTATTAGAGCTAGGTCAACCCTAATCCTATACTAAGATTTCTAGCATCCCCCATATCTCCACCCATAAATTTTCTTTCCTACCCTACATCATCCTTATATACCCCCTTTCACCTACCCAAACCCGGATCTTAACCATGTTCTTAAGGAGATAATAGTTGAACGTCATTCAGGAATTTACCATGAAAGTGATAAAGCGACACCTCCATTGAGTGCTATGACGGATCGATGAAATTAAGGAAAGGATATCATCTATATGGATCACCCGTAGCCACAACGGTGACTTGGTAGATGGAACGAATTAAGTGAATCTCTTACACCATACAGATGTAAATGATGAAAAATCTCTACCCAAAGACTTAACTTGAAATATTTGAGAAGCCGACATTTTGAAGTAAAAGTGGATTTGTCATATTTCAATGGCCACATGGATCAGGACGAGGTCATCGAGCGGCTCTGGATTTTGGAATGTGTTTTTGAGTGTCAGAACGTCCCACCGAACGGAATAGTGAAGCTAGTCACTAGCAAGTTAAGGAATAATGCATCTCAGTGGTGCGCGAACTTGAAGGTTTTGCGACAGTGAGAAGGGAGTAAAATTACTACATGGTCCCAAAAGAAATGGGAGATGTACTGTCAATTCTTAACATCTCACTAGAAACTGCATGTTCAAACCCCAATTTGAAAAATGGAGAGAACACATCACAAGGTGACCACCACATCTTACAAGTAGGGTTCAACCAAAGATCTTACAACTAGAGTATACCTAAGGAACATCCAAGCCGACCCTCCTGAAGAGAAACTGATTCAAAGTAGAGAATAAGTGGAGCAAATCAATATTCTTAAATTTGTCCCAACCAGAAAGTGTTTCAAATGCCACAGATTTAGGTATATTGAAGCATATTGCACAAGCGGAGGATAATATATTTCACTAAGCATAGAGTTGTTAAAGAAAGGGACAATGACACGGTAGATATTGAAGAAGATGAGGATATAAAGGAGTACTAGGTCCTAAATGATGAGGGAGGAAAGCCTCAAGTTGAGGTCATAAGGGAAACTCCAATAGAATTCACATTAGCGGTATAAGACAGTCCTAAGTTCGAGGAATCGACACCAGACACATAACAAACCCAAATAAGAGAAATTTAGACTTTTCAAATAGATAGACTCCTTCCCTAGTTGTCCCAACTGAGGGAGGTCCAATATGTCATAGATAAAGCTCTTTTGTGTCACTTCTAGAAAAATGTGGAGTTGGTTGGGTTTTAAAATCTATTTAGTAATGTGCCCCCCAACAGATGATCAGGTGAGATGTATGAACCACAACTTTGGAAGTTGTCGTAGGAGCTTTGTGGGAATAAAAGTTGTCAATAGGATCCAGGCCCTACCAGGTGAGAAGAAGAAGTCTCTCTTGAATTGTTGCTAGTGAGACTTACTCAGTGTGCTATAAAATTTGTCCAAAAGTTGAAGCTTCCTTACATACTTAATTACCAGATACATCCAGTCGAGTACAAGGAGTTGAAGATACAATCACGAAACTAGTGACTTAAGAGTTACTTTGGGAGAATCTACAATTATATGCAACTACAAGTTAGGTTGTGCCAAAAACAAATGAATATTTATTTTATCAGGATGTGCTTTGAAATGAAAATGTTGACAAGAGTGATTTGCTGGGAAGTTATAGTAGCTCCACCACCTTCAACAAGACTGAACTGACTACCATGAGGAGACACAAACAATAATAAATAAGGTGGAAGCTCCCCCAATTCGGGGAGACTAATGCGGGAGCTACCGAAACACCCCACATTACACGACTCATGCTATAGTGCACGAGCGTAAAAGAAAAGCGGAAGCCCTATCCCACGATTCTATCGTATAGACCGAACTATTCAAGCTCTGGGAGGGCTAACCGACTCTCCAACGTTGGTTTAGCGCCTCATTTCCATTGGGGGGGGGGGGGGGGGGGGGGGGGTGGGGGGGGTGGGGGGGGGGGTGCACTTCTAAGTATCTAGGGCTTATGTGGTTCCTTTGTTTAAGATTTGCAGTTTTTTGAGTGTTTCGCTTAGGTCAATTCTTGACGTTCGTTCTTCTCCCTTAGAGCGTTGTATTCAAGGGATTGAGTGATGTTCCAACTGTATCTCTCTCCCAACGTAGTGATTATTTTCACTATCCCCTTCCGCATGTTCCCCCACCATGCTCCTGACCATCCTCCATGGCCGCAACCGCCCCGAACAACACTTGTTTGCTGCTTTTCATTGAAGTCTTCCCATTCCAGTCCTTCTTGCTCATTGCCACCGCCCTTGACAGCTGCTCTTTGTTGTCCTGTAGTCCCCCGCTTCACCCATTCGTTGCCATCATCTGAAAAAGACAAACCTATTGGTTTCTTGCTGTCCCATGGCTATTCTAGCCTTTCACACCATACGTCGCTGCTACGCTTGCCACCCCATTTGCTACCCTTGCAGTCCCAGGCCTCCACTTCACTGCCAACGCGATTCTAGCCCTTCCTTTTGCTATACCAACTGCCTACAACCCATTTCAGCCACCTATCTCTGCTCCCCAACCACCTAGCCTACCTCCACCACCTATGGATTGAGCCCTAGTTTGAGTTCGTGTCGTGTCTGTTGTAATTTTCCTTTCAAGTGTGTTTGACTGCAACCGCCTATTTGCTTTCAGAAATAATATTTGATTTTCATATTGTGGTTTGGGTTAACTCCGGTACTATATCTTGCTAATAAAAATTCACTTTTCAAATTTTCTTCTATTATACAAGGCTTGTCAAGTTGGTAGAGTTGTTCCAACCAGATTATGGCATGAAGGCCTCAAACCTACTCCCCTAAGAAAATTAGACTATTTCAATCCACTCATTCATATGGTGGTTAAGGTTGGTATTCAATGGTTGTTTATAGGTTAATGTAGATGTTTTCATATTTGAGTTATGGAAATAACCTCTCTGTAAATACAAGGAGCTAAGATTGTATACATCAACCCCTCCCAAGACCCCCCTTTAGCAGGAAATTCATGCAACGAGTATGCTTCTTTAATTTACATTTCTCATTAATAAATCTAATGAATAATTTAAGTATCTACCAACAAAAGAGAAAAAAAAAAAATGCCATCCGACACACTCTTATGCTACACTATCTGTCATTTTTATCCCCTCATCTACCCTGAACAAGGCACATCAAGGCAAGGGATTCTGAATCAAACCAAATGCAACATTATAGAATACAAAATTGCAAAACCAATGCAATGATATTTTTATTTTTTTATGCAATATTAATCTAAATCAAAATAAAAACATATACATATTGCCATAAAGATTCATTTGGCAGCAAAATATCTAACACAAAAGATATTTCTAAGGTTAAAGATGTTAAAACATTCATTAAATTTAATAACAAAAAAAAAAAAAATCAATTGCTCACACAAAGTTTAACTATTTTGCTAATGAGCCATTCATTTCTTATCTGTGGTATTTGCCAAAAGAATGCTCTCATCAAGCATTATTTCCTTTTTATCTACCAATAGCTTGTATCAATATGATTGAAAATTGTTGATGTTATAAACAAAAAATATAAATAAAAATCTCAGTGGTCGGTTGAGAAGAGAATAATTTTTATATTAGAGATAATAAACCTGCAATTTCCCTTCATTAAAAAAAAAAAAAAAAACAAAGTAATAAATCTTTTCAATTGAGAATGTTCACTGCATATAATGTGTTAACAATGGTTAATGGACAATCACATCAAAAGTTTTCATAAAAAAACCAGCTAAAATAGCAAAAAGAATCAGCGTGAAAGCAAAGAAAAAAAAAAGGGTGGGGGGGGGGGGGGGGGGGGGATACAAAAAAAACA